ACACGAGGACCGGGGGGTCGCTCACAACTCCTCGACGGGCGCCGCCGCTCCTGAACACTCCTCGGTCGAACTTCACTACTGCTGCCCCCTGCGACTCGGTCACCATGCACACAGGTACTCGCAATCTGCTGTTAATACTGGTGGCTTGGAATATTTTAATAATAATAATAATATTGTTTAACACTAGATAAGAGGCAAGGTAAATCATTTTAAATTAAACCAGATGCATGAAAATAATAATAATAATAATAATACTAATAATAATAATATATTTTATTTGTATAGTGCTTTTCTCAGTACTCAGTACTCAAAGACACTTCACATGGATAAAAGTAAAAATGGTGCCATAAAAGTCATAATAAAAAAATGGTTGCATTAAAGCTAATGTAACTGTCAAAATATCAGAGGTTCAGAGATTATTTTCAGACATTAAATATTAAAAGCAATTTATCTTTTTTGTGAATGTGTCTTGTTCCTTCATTTAACCAGACGCATTCCACATGTTCCTGAGTGGACATAATGTCTTGGAAATTCAATCTGATAACGTGCGATACGATTTATTTCTAGAATCATTTCGTATTTATATATTATGTGCTATTATTCACCACAAAAAAGTACCGCACTGTCCAGTTGTCTTTTTTAGAAACTTGGCCGTGCTGAATTTTTTGTGTAGTTACTACTGATGGTTTTCAGCCTCACTTGTAAGTCAATCTGGATCAAAGCACCTTCTGAATGACTAACTGTAAATGTGTGTGAATCCCTGGTGGGACATGTGTAAATAAAGACTGAGGATGCCAGTTAACAGCCTTGTTGTGTCGTCCCAGCATCCTCTCCCAGGAAGGTGTACGACACACGGGACGGAGGCCACAGCTCCGTCACGCAGATCGACTTTGACGATGACAAGTACCGCCGCCGGCCCACTCTCAGCTGGTTCGCACAGATACTCAAGTTAGTATTCACTCACTCACACACTCACTCAGATATTCAAGTGAGTATACATGTATGCCTCATCATCAAACATCAATGTGGAAGTGATATAAACAAATATCGTATTGCGATATTTACAGAATGGCAATATTTACAGAATCGTTATATCACTGTAAATCACGGCCTCAAGTGGCTCATTGCTTTCATAAAACGGCTACTAAAACGTTTACTATAGACTACATAGTAAGATTTCACAAAATAATCACACGGCAACATAAAATGCGATCATCGATTGAAAGCAAATCATCATTCTTCCGCCAAGCAATATAGTTCCTCAAGACAACAAAATGATTGCCAAGCAACTCAGGCTAGCATACAGCCATATTAAAAATGAATTTTTATGCAGTCACAGGTGTGTTTATACTTCGACGACTTCGAGCCAATCAAAATCAAGGACCGGAACAATTCCGTTTTATAATTACTAAAAATGTCTGTTTTCTTCTCTCCAGGAACCGACGGGGATCTAGGAAGAGCTCTCTGAGCTGGAGACAGAGGGTCTTCATGTTCCTGCTGGTGGGGGTCCTGGCCTTCCTCACGCTCATCATCGTCATGGCCAAGCTGGGCCGGGCCTCCGCGGGCTCCGACCCCAACCTCGACCCGCTCATGAACCCCAACATTCGCATCGGGAAAAACTGATCGTCGTGACACCCACCAAATCACACACGCTCATTTTTACCCTTCCCTTTCGCCGCACAACCGAGGCTTGTGTGTCAAAGCTGGGATGGTGTTTGTTGTCGTTGCGTCGGCGGACCACCAGAAGGCACCAGATCCACATTTGATGGAGGCAAGCTAGAGGGGAAGCCTCTACCATCAGACGGTATGAGGCTTATTCCGGGGGACCTTTCGGCGTAGGGTCCAACTCATAAATTCCACAACAACACTTGTAAATTGGTATTTGTATAAAAAAAGTTGTTTATGAAATATCTGCTTGAAGTGGGAGTTTTAATTTTTATTTTTTTTTGGGGGGGGGGGGGGGGGGGGGGGGAATCTGGGTTCTGAGACTTAACTAATCGGGGCGTTGGGCTTCTGAGTTTGTTTGTTTGTTTGTAATATATTTATCTTGAATGTTGCTGTGTGATTGACGGTTGAGTGTATAACATATGAAGCTGCCTGGAAAACATGTGTTGTTCAGTCACCATCCACAAGAGTAATTCCAGCTTGAATATTTTTCCTTTATTTGTAGAAGGGTCAGAGGTCAAAATGCAGCCCCTCTCTCTTCACGCCACCACCAGGATGGCCGCCATGGTAGTTTCCGTTTTAGCCTTTACTGCACAGTGCTGAAATATGACTTGCAATATCTATAACACTTCAAAAACCTGTCACTATACTGCTTTTAGACTTGCAATGCGTACTGTAACATCTCGTCCTGGTTCTCTTTGACCCGCTATTAAATGGGACTACTGATAACAACAAGCTTGTATGGTTTGGATATTTTTCTGTGTAACTATATTCTAATCACTAATTTATTGCATGGCTGACACCGCTGTCGGTGTTTGAATAATAATGTGTATGAAAAAAATACAAATAATGTGTATGAATGGGTGAAGGTGAAGCACTAATTGTTAAGCGCCTTGAGTGGTCACAGGTTATAAATGCAGCCCGTCTCCCAATTACCACATTCAGTTGATTAATATCCAGAATCCAATTTTCGTTTTATCCATCCTTTTATCAGGGGAAATCTCTAGTCTAGAGATACATATGAATGAAGGCATTTTTATTCAAGTCACACTTGACCTTTTCAGTCATAAGAGACCGGGGAAATATGGACGTCTGTGACGTCACTCCAAAGCCATTGGGAGAATTCACTGGATTTTGGCTGCTCAGAGTTAGACTGGACCGGGAACCGGTCCGTAGTTGGTGTGCAGGACCGTGAGGGCAGCAGAACCTAAACAAAAAAAAAAAATCATAAAATGAATGAATGTAAATCTAAAAAAAAAGCAGTTGGAAAAAAAGGCTGTGTGTGTGTTTCAGAGAGTCAGTCAGTCGGTGTATACAGTTTGACACTGATCACATGTATCGATTGAGAGAGGGAGGGAGGGAGGGGGAGAGGAGGGGGGGGGGGACAGCGGCTGCCTCTCGTCAATACTCTCCCACGTCGTGGTAATTATCACCACGTCAGCCCTGTCAGCTTTCACTTGTCTTCACACTTAAGCGAAATGTTTTCATCATTGCATCGTGTAAAGTGATATAAAGTCATGCTGTGATATGATGTATGATGGGGGGGGGGGGGGGGGGGGGGTTCTTTTTTCTTTTTATCTTTTTTTCCCCAGTTGTATTGGATTTGGATGAGAGTGGAGATGACGACGTGTGAGTTATTACCGGTCCATTGTTCTGACATAATCAGGCCACAGCAGTCGATGGCTGCTGGCTGGCACCAGCAGCTGCAGCTCTTCACTGCTGAAGTTAACGTTTAGTGTAATATTAATCAGAAAGACTGTCAAAGGGCGACATTTACATTTTCATAAATTGCATATATATATATATATATATATATATATATATATACGTATATATATAAACAATTTGAACTGCATCTATTGATCTGATTCTACAATGTGGTAAGTCCAGAAGATATTTAACTTTTGAATGAAATATGGATAGGGTTACATCATCACACAGTTACATCATCTCTGTTGGTGCTATAGAAATATGCATAGGTTACATCATCCCCCTGTCACTGCATTGTTCGTCAGCTGTCCTGATGGAAATGAGGTGGATGTATAATAGATATTGATTGGCTGTGTGTGTGTGTGTGTGTGTGTGTGTGTGTGTGTGTGTGTGTGTGTGTGTGTGTGTGTGTGTGTGTGTGTGTGTGTGTGTGTGTGTGTGTGTGTGTGTGTGTGTGTGTGTGTGTGCGCGTGTTAATACAAAACTTTAATGAGCACCTCCTACTGTGCCAGTCCTGCTGTCTCTGTGGAACTGTAAGTATTCATGTTTTTCATATTCAGGTTTATTAAGTTTGTGCACACGGAATTGGGGGGATTTCTGGGCTTAAAAGAAATTGTTCTGCAACACTAGAGCTGGTAAAATCAACATTTAATGCATTTAAATAGCCTAATTGAAAATGATTTGTTTTTAAGAAGAAGCTGTGCTGGTGGAGAGGAGTCTCAATAGTTTTTCTATATTTCACTACAGAACTGCTACCAAACCATATCCGTTTTATCGTTGACTTCTTTGAAACTGTATTAACCTAGTAATTATATAGTTATAGTTACTATAACGTCATATACGACAATATATTTAAGTAATTCTTGGTAAAATGGTTTTGTGTTACATTTTTTCAACCAATTATAATCTCAGTTATCGGTAAACCGTTTGTATCCCTGCTCTAGTTTTTAGATTTCTGCACCAAATTCACCTTGAGAAACAAGAGAGCATAACTTCCAACCTCCGCTACACCACTCTCCTAGGTTCCTTGTTTCTGTGACACATCCAGCACAATGGAGAAATATTTCCAACCGGTCCAGCCTCAGAAGGAGTGCCGAGGCCCTGTGGAGGACCGGGGCCGGCCCGGGAAAGGGGGCCACAGGCAGAGGAAGCCCAGGAAGCAAAACCAGAACCAGAACCAGCAGCCCAATCAACCACCGACCCAAGGTCATCGCTGTCGCCAGCCACGCCAACCAACCGATGCGACATGTCAACAAAGCGATGGCCGCGGGTACAGTACAGTCTGCGGATGTTGGATCACATCATAACTGTCACCATCAACTGTTTATGTATATTTATTGTTACATTTACATTTAGTCATTTTGCAGATGCTTTTGTCTAAAGCGAATTACAACCACTACAAAATAATGTATTACAAATTGGACAGAAGGGTGTGTTGACCTTATTGATGGACCACAAACAATGAATCTTGTGAATTATTTCGAGATGAGCTGCTGCCGTAAGCTTCTGCAAAGGCTCATTATTATTTTAATAATATCTATTTATTATTATTTCATTGTTATTTTAATAATAATCAACCTAGTGTGAAATGCATTATATGATTCTAACCTAATTTGGCTGTTCTAGCCATATCCCTAGCTGAACTGGTAGAGCATAGCATTAACGTTGCCAGGGTTAGGGGTTCGATTCCCACTGGTGCCACCCATGCTATAAATGTATGCACTGTGACGCTTTGGATAAAAGTCTCCACCAAATTGCATATATATGTTTTGTGTATATACTGTATATATAAACGTTAAATCTTTAGCTGAACCCAAGTGTCGTGTGTTTCTAACCCAGTGGTTACCCTGCCTTTCCGTTATAGCATCTGCTCAACAGCAGAGGGCAGCAGCATCCATCATCATCACTATGACAACCATCACCACCACCACCATCAGCAGCATGATGGTGAGAAGACTGACCCTTCTCATCCTCACCACCATCAACATCATCATCATCATCATCATCCTCATAAACAAAAGCACCACCGTGTCGCAGATGGGATTTCCCACTCCTCCACTTCAGCCTCGTCCTCTACCTCTAGTTCCTCAACCTCTTCCTTATCATCTTCCTCATCCGACTCCTCCTCTTCCAACTCATCCGACTCCTCCTCTTCTTCCTCTGACTCCTCCTCCGAGAGCAGTGACTCCTCCTCGGACAAGCGCTCCCTTCGGAAGCCCCAGTATTCCCAGTCCTGCTCGGAAATCTCCCGGACCCACAGGGTGATGGAGGACGCCGACAACAATGACGACGACGATGATGAAGAGGACAGACGACCTTTAATTGAGGATGCCGAAGGTCACAGGAAGCAGGAGGTGTCTGGCAAGGAGAGGAGAGGGCGGGCGGTGCCCCCCTCCCATTGCAGCCTCCCCTCTGTCAAGAAGAAGAAAAAGAAGAAGAAGAAGAAGGAGAGGACCACCGCCAGAACTTCGGGAAGAGACATGAGCTTACGCAAGTCCAAGTCACTGGAGGCCGTCTCCAGCCGAGAACATGGCGACGGCGAGGAAAACAAAGACGGCGAAATGGACCGAAACAAAGCGGAAGCCAGGAAGAACATGGTGAAGGAGAAGGTGAAGTTCTCCGCTTTCCTGAACGAGATCACGCGGCAGGTGCTGAGCCCCTCGAGACTTACCTCTCTGGGGGTGACCGACGCCGGGAGGCCCCGGAGCCCGGGACAAGCCTCCGGTAGATCCAGCAGGGTAGAGGGTAGACCGGCGGGTCCCGGACATCGGAGGAGCCGCCCGGCGAGCGCCGACTCCATCCACTCCAGCAGCAGCTCCTCTCCTGAGAGTGTGCGATCGCAGTTTAGCAAACGCTCTCATTCGAGCAGGCACTCACGTCGTTCTAGACCTGGAAAGCACCGTTGCCGTAGTCACCATCGCTCCGCAGGAGATTGTCTCCATCACATGCACCACAGTCCTACCAGCCACACCGATAGATCTGACAGGAGCTATTTCAAACGCCGTCATTCGTGTTCTTCTCTGGAGAGATCTCACTCACCTTCTCACGAGCATCCACACCGTCGAGACCGCGGCGGGAGCAGACGTCAACACCTCCGTCGAGAAGAAGAAGAAGAAGAAGAAAAGCATGGTGACACAAGTCATCAGTGTCACCATGGAGACCACCACAACCCTCAGCATCAGCGTCGCCATAGAGACCATCGTCATGGAGAGAGCCGTAGCCTTACACAACTCCCAGTCACCTCATGTCGTCATCAACACCACAGTGACCACCAAAACAAACCTAGTGTGCCACGTCACCATGGAAACCAGAGCCCAAATCGTAATCATGGAGATGATGACAATAAACACCATCATCACCATCACCATGGAGACCATCACCATAATGACCATCCCCGAGGTCCAAGTCACCGTCATCATCATCACCATGGTGACAAACACAGCCCAACTCATCACCATCACCATGGAGACCATCACCCCAACCCAAGTCACCCTCATCACCATCACCATGACGACCACCACAGTTCAAGTCGCCATCATCATCATCACCATGATGATAAACAAAGCCCAACTCACCGCCATCATCATGGTGACCACCACAGCCCAACTCATCACCACGACGACCACCACAGCCAAGAGCATCACCATCACCATGGTGACAAGCACAGCCCAACTCATCCCCATCACCATGACAACCACCACAGCCCAAAGCACCTCCATGAAACCCAACCAAGGGCCCCCGATTCCGAGTTTGAAAATGGCGCTCACCATTCTGCTGATCATCCAGAGCACCACCACCACCACACCTCCTCACCAGCAGACCATACCCACTCCCACCCAAAGGCTGACCACCACAAGCCCCCTCACCCCACCCACAGTAAACCCCACCTCCACCCTCCGCAGGCAGAGACCTTTCCGTTCCAGCACCAGGAGCATCCCAACAGCCATCCCAGTAGACATTCTCCTGTCAGCTCCTCCAGCCTGGAGGAGGAGCAGAGCGGCTGCAGAAGCTCTGCTCCATCGGTGAACAAAGTATGGCATGTTTGAGTAGCTTTCCATGACGCTCCCCTGTGGCTTGTGCAGTGTGACACTATTGACAAGTCGTTGAGTCCGATATTTAATTCATTAGGAGGCTGCTGACATAATGTTCCACTCATTTGCTCTTGCATCGATCCTGGTGCCAGGCATGCATGTCATTGTGGCAGAACAATAGATTTCCTTTCCCCCGCTTGCATGCAATTGCTTGTATGCTTGTGAATCAAAGTAACACTCAATTTTGCTTTATTGGTTTTGAATTCGTGTTGTGGGTTTACTATTGGAGAATTTTTTATTTTATTTTTTTTATTACAGAATATGGCACAGGAGCAGACTAGGATCATGTGAGTTACTTTGTTTTGTTGATGAATAAAGGTCATAAACACCTCATGAATGTATAATCCAGAAGTTCAGTCAGTGGTGACATTTTCACAGCGAACGCTTTGGGACCAAAGTGTTGTGTACAGATTGTTGTGGGATATTTGTATATTGGGCTAGTAAATTAGTATACTGGGCTAGAATATTAGCAAATTGGGCAGGCTAATATGTTAGTACACTGGGCTAGTATATTAGTATATATATGGTTGTATAATGGTGTGTACAGACTGTTACAATTTATATAGTGTATTATATTATGGTTGTTTGCTGGTGTGTGCAGACTGCTGCAGGAGCAGAACGAGGACCTCCACCACAGTCTGCTGCAGACGGCTGTCAGGATGGAGTGTCTGGGGGAGGAGTTTATGACCAGCCATCAGGTCCTGGAGGCGGAGCTTCAGAAAACCAGGGTGGAGCTAAGTCACCTCACCGATAAGTTTAAAAGGTTAAAAAATACATTGGAGAATATAAGAAAAATAATTAAAATAATAACAATAATAATAATAATAATAATAATAATAAAATGATCAGCTAAAATTAAATACCAAATATAATAATTACTATATTATTTCCACTATTATTTCTAATATATTAGCAATAATTATATTATTTCTAATGATATAATTAGAAACAATTTAAATCATTTCTCTCTCCATGTGTATCTTTGTTATTTTTTTCTAGATTACAAGACAACTATTCCTCCACACAACAGACCAATAACCTTCTAGAGCATAAACTCCAGTCTGTGGTGAGCATCCATAATGCTTTTCCCCCTCACTTCTCATTCAGGTTGAAAAGTAAGCAAGAAGGGTTTGCAGTCCAATGTGTAGCTCACTGGCAGAGCATGGTACTAACACTGCCGGGGTTAGGGGTTCGATTTCCCTCAGGGGGCTCCAATGCTAATTTATGCTCTTGTGCTATTGTTTGACGCTTTGCATAAAAGCATTCACCAAATTGCATATTGTGTATCTCCGCCTCATGCCTCAATTCACAAGCTCCCAACTATGGATCCTAACCGCTATAGGCAATGCTAGTTTAGTAATGGCAGGGTTACCAGACCTGGTATTAAAGAGGTCTTGTGTGTTCTGGTTGTGTGTGGAAGGCCCAACACATGGAGGGAGAACGTGAGAGGCTGAACCATCGCATCACCGCTCTGACAGATCAACTGGCAACTGCAGCCCCTGACCCCAGACTGGAGATGCTGCATGTGAGAACACATTCAAAGAAGAAAATGGAGACAGTAGTTATCAGTAGCCCAGGAGTCCGTTTCACAAAGCAGGTTCAACAACCTCTGAGTCTAATCCTAAACGCTGAGTTGATCTACTCTGAAATAGAAAACTCTGGGTTTTCGGTTCCAGAACAGCGGATTTGAGTTAATTTGATCAACTCAGAGTAGTTTCAGGGTTAAGCGCGTGCACCACAACTGTAAAAAGCATCAATGGAGCCCCGATTCGACGAGTCACCATGGCAACGGGGAAGAGGAGGTCTACGTTTTTCACCAACCTCGAATTGGAAATCCTAATGCGCTCATATGGCGAGTTTCAACACTTTTTAGAAAGAAGTGCAACACTGCTGCGTAAGTTTAAATGTAGTCCTTTGCAATCACAATAATATTACAGGGGAAAACTGCTTGAATGGTAACTATTCATTTATTTCATTTAGGTGCAATCCCGCGGGGGAGAAGCCCACTTGGCAGCAGCTTAATATGACATATAAAAACATTGTTCAAACAGATAAGACCTCGGCATGATCATTTTGATCATGTTTTACACTGTAAAGTAAATATTAAGTGGCTATTTGACTGTATACAGTTGCCTTGCTCAGCATCTCCGACATTGTACAACGCCAAAACTCGACTGCTGACTGAACGAATGAGGAAATCAAATGGCGTGTGTGGCTGAAAGAGCGGAGACAGAGAGAAACTCGAGGTCCATTGTGAAAAACCTGGTCCCGACCAGGTTAGGTTCATAGAGTCTGTTACTACGGTAACTGACCGAGAGCGTAAGTTACCTCTCTCTGTGAAACAGGTTAGAGTTACCCCTCTTTCTCTGGTTTGAGTTACCTCCCTTTGTGAAACGGAAAACTCAGTGTTTCCCTCATTTCAGGGTTAATAAACTCAGAGTTTTCACTAAACCTGCTTTGTGAAACGGACCCCTGGTGTTTTTCATAACCTGACTCACTACTCTACCTCTAATTACCTCTTTAATGTTTTGTAGCTACCTACCACCAGCTACTTGGAAAAAAGACTCAAATTCTACTTTTTTAACCTTTTTAATAATCCAGCCTGATATTTCTAATTTCTCCCCACTCCCCTAAATCTCTCCCCAGGTAACCTCATCTTTGCACACGAACCTCGAGCGCCATTTCCGTCCAGACGATCCCACCAATCAATTTGTTCTCCCCGTGGCCCCGCCTCCCCCGCAGTTTGTAGACAGCCAAAACTACGGCAAGCCCAAAGGCCCCAACCAGAACCAGTCACTGGTCTCGGTCCCGGAGGAGGAGGAATCTGATTGGTCGGAGATGGGCGATGAAACCCCGCGCTTCCTCCTGACGGGCTCCAACAGATTCCAGGCAGCGTCCGCCGGCTTCCTGCCCTGGAGGAGCGAGGAGAGGCGGGGGGGAGGGTGGCCGGGCCAGGGGGACGGCGACGGAGACAGCGAGTCCGGCGGGGAGGAGTTCGTCCGGCACCACCCTCCGGGGTCCCTCCACCTCCCTCACCTCCACTTCACCCTCCACCACCATGAGATGTTCCCCCCACCTCCGGACGACGGCTGCCCCGCCGCCTACAGGATCATGACGGACGGTCAAGGGGCGTCCGGGGAGCACGGCTCCTCCCCCGTCCGCCTCCGCTCCTCCCCCATCTGCCGCCGCTCCATCAGCCTGGAGGAGATCGCCGGGGCGTGCCACCACATGCAGCAGCAGGAGAGGAGGAGGAGGAGCTGATGAGAGGGACCGAGAAGCAACACGTACTGGAGGACTCAGACAACGAGATCATCCACCACTGGGGGTCCCGGGCCGACGGCGACCCGGCGGCGGGGGGGAAAGCGCAGGCGGCCGAGGGGTTAGAGTCGATGGACGCCGGCGGTAGCCTGGCCGATCTGCACTCGTCCCAGAGGATGTTCAACCACTTCATGTGCGAGCTCCGGCCCGGGGATGCAGAGGGGCCGGACAGGGCCGAGGTGAAGGGGTGGACCGGGGGGATTCCGGAAGAAGTGCTGGGTGGGGAGCGGACAGAGCTGTAGGACTGTTAGCTGTAAACCCAAACCCAAGCAGATCTGACCTCCGCACAGCACAGCCCTCATTCCCTGGACACTCCACAAGAGCAGCAAGGAAGTCAGACTTTGCTGTAGAGGTGTCTTAGTAATGGGGGCCAAGGGGGGGGAGGCGGGGGGGGGATAGTGCAGTGGTTAGGGGGTTTTCACTCACCAATTAAAAGGGTGTGAGTTTGATCGCCAACCTGTAGGCATTCTTGAGCAAGACGCTCACCCCTACCTGCTCATTAAAGCTGCTCTAGGTAACTTTTGCTAGTTGACCGAGAGCTAGCTTGAAAATAAATCCATAGATGTATCCTGATTGGTCAAGCTCTCCTGATTGGTCACAGCCTCAGAGCTCTCCTGATTGGTCAAGCTCTCCTGATTTGTCACAGCCTCAGAGCTCTCCTGATTGGTCACAGCCTCAGAGCTTGCCTGATTGGTCACAGACTCCAGCGAGCGGCAAAAAAAACAATCTCCTATTGAGCCACCTAGAGAGGCAGGGACGGACACCACGCCAGATATTCTCACAGACCACTTGACTCACTCATACCTGACAGAGTATGGGGAGGATTTTGGCATATCTGACCATAAAAAAGTGAACTAGAGCCGCTTTAATTACATGTTTGTTTCCGATTCAGACTCATGGATTGATTTTGACTACGTCCTTATCAAACCTAATTTCTCTTAGTTGTATCTATTGAATGCGCACACAGTTTCAGGCTAGAATGACTTGATAGTGTTGGCAGTCGATGAGAAAGAAGGCCAAGTAGACACCCTGTACAACATGTAGGAAATAGTATGTCCATATTCAGGTCTTCCTTTCTGTCTGTCTTTCTTTTGAAGTTGTCATTCTAGAAAAAGTTGCAAGATAGGAGAATTAGACCAGTCTTATTAAAACTTTAATACAATGCCCTTGATAGATGGACTGTTTGCTCTCAATTCAGGTGGTGTGAAGTCGTTTGGCATACAGTGGCTTTCACACAATGTGTTAAGTGGAGATTTATAACGGTCATCTGAATCTCACCTGTTTAACCTTGTCCAAAGGTTGCCGCTTAAATTATGTATATATGATTAATATATGTAATTATAGCATGATGTATCTACATCAAGACATTGTAATTACAATTTAATCAATATTCAATGTAAATTCACAGGCACACACACACACACACACACACACACACACACACACACACACACACACACACACACACACACACACACACACACACACACACACACACACACACACACACACACATTAATCAATATAGCCTAAATATAGTATATTGCAGTAAATACATACAAATAATAAATTAATATTAAAGTAGCCTTTAAATCATGTTCTTGGTAAAGACATTGTGTAAAGACAGGTACTATGTTTTCCTGAATACAAGAAACATCAAAAGTTTATAGTCCCCTATAAATCATGTATATTTATGTAAATTAGATATGTTTTTGCTTTCAAACTAGTCAACCGTAGTAATCATAATCTTTTAGCAAAATGATGTAGCACATACCTGAACATGTTTCCCATTATAATAGCGCCCCAACCCTTAATATTATTCCTATGGCTGGGTGTTGCAATCATTTATTCGTTCATTTGTAAATATATTTATGCAAGGAACTTAGTTACATTATACGTTCATATAACAGTCAAAGTGTACATCTGTAATTGCTTCTCTGCTCTCTAATGCTGAATATACAATAAAATAATTAGATAAAAAAGTGTTTCCTTTATGAATGAACATTTGTTCTGTACTGATCATACTGGTCTGATCTGCTGGTCTGGTCATACTGGTCTGATCTGCACTGATCTGCATCAGACTATTAACAAAAGTAGTAAGAAATACTAAGTAAGTAGTAGTCATTAAAGGTTCATTAACGGTAACTGCAGCTGAGTGAAAGTCCCTCACAAGGGTGTAGTTTTAAAATGCCTCCAGAGGAAGAGTTCAACTTTCTCTACTGATCCTCTCTGAAGTGTTAAGTGGGGATAATCCTGTAAGCCCTTCACCTTCTCTCTCTCCTACACTCCCCACTCCTCCTTCTCCCTACTCTCCCTTTCCTAGTCACTGAACCTCAGCCAACCAGCCATGTTTCTTCTTCAAAGTGGACTTTTATCATCTAGATTTCTTGGTATTTTTTTCATTAAACGCAACATGTTTTGGATTGACCAAATTAAAAACAGATTTCTTGCAATTATTCCTAAAAAGAAAAGATGCAATTTGCCTTTCTCCCAATCTCATGCCTATCAAAGATGTTTATTCCAAAATGTTTGCGTATCATTTTTCATATATCTGTGGGATTTGTGTGTTTGAAACTTTCAAAGCTCAGGGATTCATAGTAGGCCTACATATGCCAGTTAATAATACCAACATCATATTAAAACCTGTCTGTTCTCTGTCTCTGTCTCTGTCTCTGTCTCTCTCTCCCCTCCCCCCCCCCCCCCCCCCCCCCCCCTCATCCCCCCTCATCCCCCCTCTCTCCCGGTGGGGGGTTTGTCTCGCGTGTGCAGGTGAGCGGTGTGCTGCAGGTATGCTGAGCAGGCAGAGGTCCGGATTCACCGGCTCCTTTAATAGGATCCCAGCGCATTAACCGCTAAGACCTTCACCCTGATCCCGTTGTGCCAAATCCAGTGTGCC